GGCAGCCTTGATGAACCGATAGTTCCAACCGACGCGTGAAGTATGGTATCATTTCTTCTGCGTATTTTTCACTTCCCCAGCCCTTGAGCACCTTCTCCAAGACTTGCCTTAGGACAAGATCATGGGACGTAGCCTCTGCAATATCTGTGCTCTTCACTGGGAAGTTGCTGAAATAGTCGCAGTAGAACACGTAGGTTTCATCTACGACGAATTCGTCTGAAGTCTTCGCAGCTTGCGGGAGTGTTGAAAGGCAATCGGCGTTGGCGTTCTCCTTAGACGAACGATAAACGATGTTGTATCGATGTCCTGCCAGTCTGCAAGCCCATCTCTGAAGGCGTGCTGCCGTCATCGTCGGAACTCCAGTCGTAGGTCCCAAAATCTTTTGAAGTGGAGCATGGTCGGTTATTAGTGTAAAGTTGTACCCATACAGATAGTAATGGAACCTTTTTACACCAAAAACAATGGCAAAGGCCTCTTTTTCAAGCTGCAAGTAGTTCTTCTCATGCGTAGACAGTGTTCGTGAGACATACGATACGGGTCTTTCTGTCCCGTCTTTCATGATGTGGGACAACACCGCTCCTCCGCCGTACGCTGAGGCGTCGCATGCCAACACAATCGGAAGAGTTGGGTCAAAGTAAATCAGCACTGGTGCTGACGTCACCTTCTCTTTCAGCGTCTTGAAGGCCTTTCTACATTGTTCGTTCCAACTCCACTGGACATCCTTGTGCAGCAGGAGGTTGAGAGGACTCAAGATGGTTGCCAAGTTTGGGATGAACTTGCCATAGTAGTTAGCTAACCCCAAAAAGGAGCGCAACTCTGCTTCGTTCTTTGGCTCGGGTGCATCTCGTAGAGCAGCCACCTTGTCATCCAGTGTCCGTAGTCCCTCGCTGCTGATGACATGGCCTAGGTAGGACACCTCTTTTTTGAAAAACTCGCACTTCTCCTTTTGAAGTCGGATGCCATTCTTTTTAAGGCGTTTCAGAACCTCTTTCAGGTTCTTCAGCTGCTCCGCTTTTGTTCTTCCTGTTACTAGGATATCGTCAATGTAACAGGTGGTGTGCGTCAGGCCTTGTAGTACCTGATCCATCATTCGTTGAAATATTGCTGGAGCTGAGGCTACTCCAAAAGGAAGCCTGTTGACTTGAAAAAGCCCCAAATGCGTGTTCAAGGTTAAGTACCTCTTTGAATCTTCGTGCATTTGAACTTGTAAGTACGCTTTGGCTAGGTCAAGTTTAGTGAATAGCTGCCCTCCCGCCAGCGTTGCAAACAGCTCTTCGGTTCTGGGCAAGGGATAACTGCCCACATCAATCACAGGATTCACGGTGGATTTGTAATCCCCGCAGATCCGGATCTCGCCGTTCTTCTTGACGACTGGGACAATTGGAGAAGCAAACTCACTTGTTTCTACCGAAGTCAAGATGCCTCTTTCTTGTAGAGCCAGCAGTTCCTTTGCCACAGCATCCCTTAATGCGTGTGGTACTGGGCTCGCCTTTTGAAATGGTGGAGACATTCCGTGTTTCAGTTTGAGTTTGGCTTCAACTCCTTTTACGCATCCGAGCTCATCTGAGAATATTCCCTTATATTCATTCATCAGACCGTCAATCTCTTGTCTTCCTATCTCTTCGGAACAGTGTATCGCTTTGATGTTCGCCCAGTCCAACTTCATGACTCTTAGCCAGTCACGTCCAAGAAGAGGTGGTCCCTTGAAATCGACCACTTCCATCTTCAGGTTGGACTCCTTGTCTTCATGCATCACCCTCACTTGTACTTCCCACAGGGGCTTAATCTTTGCTCCGTTAAATGCCTTCAAAACGACATTACTTCGTTGCCTTTTGAGGTGCGAAAACTTAGCCTGGTACTTTTGTAATGGCAAAACAGATACTGCTGCTCCTGTGTCTATTTCCATTCTCAAAGGAATTCCACTGACCGATAGCGTTATTTCTAACGGATCATTTCGCGCGCTTCTTAGCTCGTGCATTTCTATCTCTTCGTCGGAATCTTCCACAGTTACAGCCTTCATCGTTTTCTTTTCGTTGCGCTTACTGAAGGGTTTAGACGCTTGTCCTTGCAACTTTGGAGCTGAGCCTTTACAAACTCTTTGCAGGTGCCCTACTTTTCCGCATCTTCTGCATTCCAGGCCCTTCCAGCGGCAATTGACCGACTCGTGATTCTTGTAACCACAGTGTGAACAACCTTCTTTTGCTAAAGGTTTGCTTCCCACCTTAAGAACTTCCGCGCTGGACGACCCTGAGCCTTGTAGAACTTTCGCACTGGAGGATGCGGCTTGCATTCCTACCGCCATTTCAAGCGCTCTCTTGAAAGTCAAATCCTCTTCTGAAAGCAGCCTTTTTTGTATGCTGTCATTGCATAAGCCACATACAAAGCGGTCCCGCAAAGTTTCACTCAGCGCTGTTCCAAATTCGCAGGTTTGAGCCAACTTTTTCAGTGCTGCGACATACTCAAGGATGGTTTCGCTGTCCTTCTGGTCCCTCTTGTGAAAGCGGAAGCGTTCAGCAATCACAATTGGCTTCGGTGACAGATGCGCCCGAAGTATCTCGACAAGTTCGAAATAGGTCTTACTTGATGGGGCATCCGGCGCTACGAGGCTCTTGAGTAGCGCGTAGGTCCTTCCGCCGATGATGCTCAGGAATGCCGCCACTCGTCTCGGTTCCTTCACGTCGTTGGCGATGAAGAATTGGCCGATTCTGTCGGCATACGTTGGCCAATCCCCTCCCGCTTTATCGAAGGGTTCGATGCTTCCGAGCGTTGACATGGCCCTTGTCGTAGCGCTGAGCGGCTTCCTTGAAGTCAATCCTAGACGGAGTACCTCGTCGCCAGTTTGTTATGTTAGGACGTCAATGATTGAGACCAGAACCATAGCCATTCCATAAGCGTTGTGCCCCGAGATCCTGCCTCGATCTCTCGAGCTCCCCCAACACTTCTTCTTTATTTACGAGTGCGTATGTCAGGAACATCACAGTATTTAAATATACTAAATCACCTGCTGAATGGAGTAAAGTTAGTGAATTTAGAAAATGTGTTTAATTTGAGTTGCTAAATAAACCTATGAACTAATTCTTAACTTGTACTTCAACTACGAACAAAATTATTCTTGGAGTTGTAACATTGATAAAGTCTATGCTCAAACACACACAAACGTAGTAAGAATTTAATTCTTACTGAATTTAAATTGAATTTGGCCTTGAAAGGGGAATCGTGTCACGGTAAGCCACGGTCTAAACGCCCATGCGCACAGTTGCGTTTGAGCGCGGTGCGTTCCTAGCGGTAAGCGGACACGTAGCGTTGCGAAGAGCGCTTGAGCCAAGCTTATACAGACATTTTGAGAACATGATAGCGCTTCAAGACAGGGACGAGAATAAGTACAAGACAACACAATGCGCTAGCGCATTGTGTTTTCTCGTTCTTACTCTCGTCCCTATCTTGAAGCCCCTATCATGCTCTCAAAGTTTCAGTACCAACTCGCCCAGGAAACCGCATTACTAAACTTTATGCACACAATTGTGTTGACAAGCAGTCGGCCACAGTCAACAGCCACTGAGAACGCGCTATCGTCGCTAGCGCGTATCAATAGTAAGCAGAATTCACGGCAACATGGCTGCAGCTGCCAAAGCGTCGAAGTGGGCGATTTTTGGACAATCCCGCTGGCTTCCTCGAGCTTCTGTCAGTCTTGAACCATCGGACTTTGTCGTAGTCAATTGCAACAGTGTAAACCAGCCTTAATCCAGTTGGCCGGGTTCCAAACACCTACGTCGCGAGCTCCGCGGGCCGCAAGACGCCACTGCGAAACAAGACAGAAGAAAAATGAGACGTATAAAAATCTCTGTAATGCGAAATTAGAGCGCAGCTCCTGAGGAGGAGGAGGGCAGGGTATGCCGGTCCTCCTCCTCCTCCTCTAACCCCTTCTTCTTCTCTCCTCCTACTCCTCCTCCACCACCCACTCCTCCCCCCTTTTCCTCCAATTCAGTCTCCCCGCTAAATTTAGAAGGGAAAATGACATCACGTGACCTGGTGGCACGTCACCTATTAACAAATTCAGTTTATCCTCCAGATTTAGCGGTAAAATTGACGTCACGTGACCTCAGCAGCAATACAATTTTCCCGCTATGTATGGCGCGGTTACGTTGACGGCGATGCCGTGAAACACGGAAAGGGGCGCCTAAGAGCTGCGCTCTAAGGAAACCAGAATAGGCAAAAGGGAGGACTCTGAGACTCTTCAAGAAAACTTCGCCAGCTGTGAAAGCTTCAGAACAACCAGAAAAAAGGATCGGCACAAAAGGAAAATGTGGCGACACTTTAAACGGCGCCGCGTGTCTGAAAGACTGAGACTGGACTTAGGGCTCCACTGCGTTCCTCATAAAACAAATATTTCCATATGATGGTTTGGTCGACAGATCAACATGAAACTGCCACTTCTTCTCTGAGCGTGCCTTTTTTTTTTGCCATTTCTTTCTGGAATCCCAGGAATTTATTTTGCATGTCAACCATGTAAGTCGGCCATGCGAAATAATTCTCACTTTCAAATACACTGAAAGTCAGTGGCCGTGTTCTGTAGAAAAGTATAAAAAGCTCTGATGTCAAATTTACGGCAGTCGTTTCAGAAACTTGGAAGTGAACGAAGGACAAATCATCTCACCTTCTAGAAAAGCTTGAGTTCTACACCGCTTCACCTTTTTCTTAAACACAAACAATACATTTCTAGTTCATAAAATAAAGTGTGTGAAAGCACGCCGTTTACTACTATAACTAGTATTTTTCGTGTATTTGTTGTTTCAGTTTTACTTTTATGCCTATGCCATCTTATACGTGCACCAGGCAAGCGCCCTCTAAGGTGGTTCGTGGGTAAAAAAAGTGAAGCTTATTAATAGTATTACTATAGGTGGGGCCCTATTTGTCGTAAATTATAGCATCAAATACTTCCTGAACACTTAAATGGAGCAAGATATGTTTTGATGCTTTTCATGTTTGTTTTATACATGTAGATTGGGCGCAGTAGGACCACGGATAAGCGACGGATCCCTTTTGTCCCAACCCGGCGGGGGATCCTATCATTATGGCCTCAGCGACGAAGGAAAAAAAGCGATCTTTGAACATTACAAGAGGAAGCAGTGAGTAGCTTCAAGAGAGTATTTATTGTACATTTTATTTTTTCTGATGAGCAACTCTACAACGATTGACAAAGACATGCATTTATTAAGCACATTTGTATAATGGTGCTTATTGACTAGGGTCATGTAATTCTTAGACCACGATACCTCAGCTAGGGCCGAGGTACCGTGGAAGAGGTCACGGGCGGCATCGTGGCCATGGGCGACCGCGATACACCTGCTAAAGCCGAGGTATTGCAATCGTTTGTGGAATATATAATAAAAAATAGCACACGATTTCCGATGAACGTTTTTTCTCACTTATTCTTGATATACGTATCATTTAGTGAAATTCTGCGCTCCAGCACTTGCGTCACAAGTTTTACCTTGTTCATTATAGTAAAAGAAAAAAAAACATCTTTAATTTAGATTTTTGATTTAGGGCAAGCTCAATATTACCGCCACGTACAAATCCATGGTGCCTTTAGCTATGATTAATTATATAAGATATCGTGCGTTATCACTAAGGCCCGAACTAAATTAGTTTAAAAAGCGCGAACAAACGAGGACAATAAAGAAACACAGACGACAGGACAGGCGCTTCCCAAAGAGAGAAGCGCCTGTCCTGTCGTCTGTGTTTCTTTATTATCCTCGTTTGTTCGCGCTTTTTAACCTTTTATTCAGTAATGGACCAACTAGCCCAAACCCAAGTTTTAATGTAAATTAGTTTGCATGACAGTCGCCCTCACCGGTGGTTGCCGATCGGGTTTGGATAGAGCTGGGGCATCCTGCCTTCTACGAATAATTTTAAGGAATGCATTTCCAACACGGCAAGTGGAGGTGAACTTCATCTCCAATTCTCCGCCCGAGTTCAATCATCTATACCCGTATTCACTTAGCAATACCACGTTATAAACTGAAAACAACAGGCTCGAACAAATATGATGAACACACCATAATATGTCGCCAGGTGTGGATTCTCTGCTGCAATTTCAGTTTTCATGACAAACTGATGAGTATCATAACTGTTTGTCGTACCCTGCGTTTAGTACCTTCACAGAGGATAGCTACAACGGCAGTTAAGGCTACCATATGTGGTGTTTGTACCTATTATCAAGGCTGGTATTCTGATGCCTTGGAGATAAGCCTGTGAGTTTAAGTTTACACATTATTCAAAACCTTCTAATTCACTTCACGTACATTTACAACTTCAAAATAATTTATGATAATATTACTGGAAGATATTGAAAATCCCACACGTCTTTAGACGGGGTATTTTAAGATTTACAGATTTGTTTAAAAAATATTGAAAGCTACACTAATGCGCTTTTGGCAGGTGAGTTAAACGGCTGGGCGTACACATTATAGGGGGGCTAATCGTCACGATAAGTCAGATAAATAACTTCACTGTGTTAATTAACTTCTTTAATTACTGAGGAGATACCTATGGTTTTGATGAGCCACTTGCTGAACGTCATCGAAAGCCACTGAAGGAGTAAATTCCAGAGTGCCATGTCCCGTCACCTGCCTTGTCGGAAAAGGAGCGCATGTTTCTTTGTTGATCGGTTATGATAATCTTCTTGGTTTTTGGATGACAGCGAACTTTCGCCACGTGATTTTACACCATCACAATTGTCCTTGTTAGACTGCAACGTTTACCCGCGCGAGCGGCCACATGGGAACATTACAATCGCAGTATTGACGACAATTACGGTTAGACGTCGGGAGGATTATTATTATTTCAGTAAATGTCTTAGTTTTCGAGGCATTATATTGTAAACTTTCACAATTTTAGTCGTATTTAAAAATTGCGCCCAAAACAGCGCCGCAGACCTTGCTTACAATGAGCTCGAGAAGAGTGACCGATTGGGGAGGATATAAGACAGTTGCGCCCCAAGCGACTAACTTTAGAACTACACGCATGGGGACAACCAATAACAATGACTCAGCGATCGGCTGGCGTAACCGAACGCCGCGTCAGCGTTCGGCTGAAGTTCGTGCTCTCCGGTTGCCCGAGGGGGGAGGGGGCTATTTGTTACCACTCCGTCCTGCATGACCGATGTATTTGGATGCAGCAGGCACGATGCATATGCCCAGCTCAGCACAAAATCCGAAGTGGGTCAAGCCCGCATTCTATGACCGCTGCTTTCGGGCGAGATCCGGCACTGCTTTCGGGAGAGATCCGGAAATGTAACTTCGTTTATTGTTACTATTTTTGCGTTGCACTGTGCCCTGCGTTCTATTGAAGAAGGTGGCATGGACATATCCAGAAGGCCTGTGGGGATGTTCACAGGCCTTGTGTTGGTAAACAACAAGGTGTAGAAACAACAAACGGGTCAGAGCGCCCGTCATAGTTACATCTCCTCGCCTCAGATATAAAATAAGAAAGACAGTGCGAGGGGGAAAGGGGGATTACTAGGAAAGCTGAAGTCAAGAGGAGCGTCATCCTTTCCACAAAAGCTTTTCTCGTGTGAGTTCTTTGCCCCCTTGCACTGTCTTTCTTATACTGTATCTGACTTTAGTAGTTTCACTCACTTCTTCACTTGCGCCGTCGGCGCACCTACCAAGGACACGCTACCGAGATAGCGACATTATTGAAACGAATACGTCACTCCTCCAATGGTTATTATGGGCAGAGCTTGTGGAACTTTTTTTAGCGCATCATGTCTAAATCGTGTTAAAAGGGTGAAAAGGACAAAGTTGTACATAAAAAATCATTACCCTCTCCCAAATACTTTTCACCAGCCTGGCCTCCAACCGCAATAGCCGACAATACTGCAATTAAAGTATGATCCCTAAACCAATAGTTGAAAAGTTGATTAGCGAATCCGAGTAAATTATGCAATTTACATTGGCTATTATCGCCTCGTCTAATGTCCGCCTAGTCTGATAAATGTATGACGCAGACTGCGCTCGCCAAGCTCTCACCCCCTTTAAAAAATATGTTCGAATGAAAATCAAACGTTTTGTGTCCGTATATTTATTTACGCTATAGTCCTAGATAGATCTGTCTGAAAGAGCAAGAAACAATTGAGTGCAAGTAAAACTCATTTAATCTTTTTGAAACGATTCGTTCAACCATAATATTAATAATATATATATTAAAAGGTGCTCCTGGAACACACTCGTCAGACAATGCATTACAACCTTCGTGTTAGAGCTGGAAACTGAAAATAAAAGAGGAGCATACCTTTAGTGCCATCAAGAACTGTCGCTCTTTAGTAAAAATACGACGTTTGAATAGACCTTTTGTTTGTAGACATCGAAGTTGCATGAATTCGTATTCTCTAAACGCATGCTATTTTTTTAAAAGAGGAACTCCAATTTAAAAAAAAAAATGTTTTACACAAAAAAAAAAAGAAATAGAAAGAAAATAAGAACGGTTTATTTATATTTTTTTTTTCTTTTACAGTAAAACAGAAAATGGTTGCTGGAAGGACAGACCAAAACCGATGATACCAAAATATCCTGTTGACTTCCTGCTGGAGAGACGTGTTGATATTTGTACAGAAACCTATGGAACACCGTACAAGGAGTGCCCGGTGGGGATAATAGCACTTCTATTACATAGAAGCGCACTTATATACAATACTTTTCTTAACGAGAATGACGCCCAAAACGACTCGGGCGTTGTTTTAAAAACTTCTTGATATTAAAAATTACGCTTTTTCCGCAACGCTTTTTTCGCTATATAGAAATTGACCTGGCATAGGGTGGAGAGTATTTAAGAAAGGATTAATCGCACGAGATATTGCTCCGCCCCTCTTAATGCTTTCTTTAGCCCCAAAAGAATGTGTTACATGATATGGTCCCCACGCATACGTACTGGTTGGGGTAAAACAGCCCTGTGAATCGCTGGAGCTGCCCCGACCTATCGGTAGTGCGGCGGCTTGTATCAAACCGCTATAACCCTCTGATGTTGGTGTCAGTGTATTTTTTTGTTTATATCTCCATTGTTTTTTTTTGTGTTTTTTTGGGGGGGCCTTTGGATGTTTCTCTTGTGCTTCCCGGATAGGAATGGGCCACAAATATTACATGGAGGATTCGGTACGCTCCTCATGATCCAAGTCTTCCTTTAAACTCTCTCCCTCTCTCTCTCTCTCTCTCTATATATATATATATATATATAAAACACGTGGCACACTTTGGCAGCGACAAGTTTTATAATTCCTCCTATTTGCATGCATTTGCTAATGGTCGTTGGTTGTTAAGCAAAGATTATACCAATTGGAATGCGAATGTTGGTTATTCTTTGGTTTATGGTTGAGAGGGTTCTTCTAAGTGACTTAAGGCAGAAATCGCCAAGGGGATTCACTCCTCAAAGCAAACGAGGCTATAATCGACGTTCCAAAGGCTAATTAGAATATCAATAAATAATTTTCTAAGGGTGTGCGTAATTTCGTCATGTGTAATGCCACTTGAAATACGGCTTTATTTTTTTCGTTATTTGTATTAAATTTATTTGTTATAGTTTAAAAAACTTTTCAAAAATCTTCCTACTAATAGTCAGGACGGTTTAGCGCCCAGAGATTTCTTTCACAGGTGCGCTGCCCACAACTACCGTAAGACGTCACTGCGCTCTTCTCGTAGGCCCGATCGTCGTCTGCAGTACCGATTTTTCTCTATTTGTACGGTTTCTTTTATCCGCCTACGGCTACACGTTTGCCCAAAAGTGCTGCTGACAGCTTTTGGAAAGTGTATTGAAACGACAGTTACTTTTCTAAATTGGCTGCCGCCTCTTACGGTGCCACCACTCAACATAAAAAAAGTACATGGTAGCGCTAAGTTGTTCGAAGAAAGTGCGCAGTGAAGGCAAACAATTTTAAACGCGCTCTGGCGCGGTTCCGCTCATGTGCCACAATCCTCAAGACTTTTTTTATATATATTGTTTCAGTTTTTTTTTATTAACATCATTAAAATATATTCATTGTCGGCTAGCCATGTGTTGTCACAACAATTCCTAGAAAATCGTTAAAATATTTTTCTAGACAGTGTACTATTTTACAGTCTTCCCAATGTTTAAAAAGTATTCGAATCGTACTTTTACTTGATTCGATGCCACCGCTGTTTAATTCATAATCGAATCGGTTGCCAAAATTGTTCCAACATCCCCACGTTTATAAATCTTCTGCTGTTTCTAACAGCGCGTAAATATTGCAGTCGGGGTAGAAACTGTGATGTCAACAAGATGCATTAAAATTTATGGTTTATTTTCTTTTTTTAAATTTTTGTTTAACAGGAAGTGGACGGGCAACGAATTACTGCCGAATGCCGCGTTTTATGCTGCCTTGGCGGTTCTCGGAAGCAAGAGGTATTTGTGCCTGACGGAGCCGAATGTGGTCCGGATGGTCGAGTACGCATACAACTTGATTTTCCTTATTCGTCATTTGGTTATAACTAGCGTTATGTATTTTGCGGAGTATACCTATAAACAGAGAAGCTCGTACGCACAAGCAGGATTTCGGGGAATCAGAGAAAACCGAAAAAGAAATTTGCCCGGCTGTTCTTTATTATGGGATTCCTCCAGGAAAATAAATGTTTATCGGCAGCCTTATGTTCTGCTAGTCCAAGAAAACAGACACACTGCACCGTCTTACAGGTCGGTTCTTTGTTTGGGAACCATGCGCCTCACCTCGTTTCTTTCTATTTTCGTTATTTGGACTTTTCCTAAATTATTCGGGTCAAGCGAATGGTCTCTGAGATTGGAAAGTCCTACGCCCCTGTCGGGTTATTATTTTGTACACTCCCCCATAATTGAAACTTCTTGTCCAACATCGAACTTAAGATCTAAAAAATAACAAAATCCATGAAAAGGAATAACCCTGTCAGAAAAACCCGAGACGCTGAGGATATACCGGAGGACGCTATAACTTCACATTTAAGACTCGAAAGCAATAGCTTTCCACTCTTACAGTTGAAGGTATAGCGTGCTTGTAGCCCTATTTTCCCCTTTCGTCCACGAGCCTTGCAAACGTGCTGTAGCCTAGTCGAATAAAAAGAAGAAGCGTGTCTGGCTCGCACCCGAAGAGTCGTGGGTTCGAATCCCGCCTAAAACTCGTAAGATGTTTTATTTAAGTCAATAAATGAATTACTTTAGAAAGTCGAATCATTTCAAATATGCGGCGACCTTTAATTCGCATTACACGTCAGTTTTTTAATTACTTGCTTTGCTCGCGTGACGTCTCGTTTCACGTGAGCGTTGTGGGTTGTTTGAAATTCCCGCGCGAGGCCATGTGACTGTGACGTCATGACCCTATCGACCATCCAGGATTTCAGGTCCCACGCCACCAAGGTGACGCCGGCTTTTCTGCGACACGGGCTTAATAAAACTATCGCTTTAAAATGGACCTTGCATTGATTGCGTGAGCTAAAATATGCCTTCGTACCGCACAATTCTAAACTAGGTTTTGGAGTAATTTTAGTTGGAAATTCAATTCTGATAGAAAATGTTGATTTGTTAAGTTTTGGATAGGTAGCTACGCTATGAGATAACCTTTTCACAGAGAAAAATAATTTAGCCCAATATTTAAGTCGCGATACACAATTCGTGGTCGGGGCGATTTTGATGTTTTGGCATGTCATCCAGAAGTAGAAGTACGTTTCGGAATCGATCATACAGACAACAGACAAGCAAACGAATATTTTTATAGCCTCGTCGCAGAGGTCTACCACAAAAATGAGCCTTCTCCGCGAAAAAAAAATGACCGCATCTCCACGTGGTGAATGATGTTCATTGGGGCGAAGCTCTGGTGGTGCTGATGATACTGATTTTGTTCATAGGTAGTGTTGATGGTGCTGACTTTTTTTATTGCTCATAGGTAGTGCTGAGTTCCGGGTTCCGCTTCGACTTCAATATTACTGCTTTATGGTCTTTGAAATGCAGAGCCAGTGGTTCTTCTAGCGGATCGGCTTGGATCCACTAGAAGCCGTGGGAATGCATCTCCACCGCTCAAGTCAACGGTCCATGTCAGAAAGAGAATGTGTGATATGGATCGCGGTTATATACACAGTTGAGCATTTGACCGCAACGCCCTCTCGTCTATAATAAACGTTGAGTCAATGCATGCAAAGTTTAACGCGATTATATAAGCATTTGACCGCAGCGCCCGCTCCTGCATAGACGTTGAGCGGCTACATGCAATGTTTCATCCATGACATCCCCAGCTCTTGAGTTACCACCACATGTCAGATCCCCCTCTAGTCCCGCAGTCGTGGTCGAGTGGTTAAGGCGATGGACAAGAAGTCCATTGGGGTCTCCCCGCACAGGTTTGAATCCTGTCGACTGCGACAGCACTTTTTTTTTAAGAAGACAGATGGGAATGGCACACGATGTGAGCACGAACGCCGGACGGACAAGGCTAGACCCTAAGGAGCTTCGCCTCTAATAATTTATAATCATTGTCATCGTGAGAGCGGCCCTAAACTTAGTTCTACTACCGTGTGTCGTCCCAAGAGAAAGTCCCTGAATGAAAGCACATCACGGCGCTAAAAATAAGTATCCCGATGTTCATATTGTCACGGATAAAGGCGACGAAACGGAAAATAATGAACCGAAAGTAAAAGGTTTAATAAGCGAACTTGTGCCAAATTAAAAAAAAAAAAAAAAAAAAAAAAAAACGAGCATTGAGACAGCAGGAAAGCGGGCGGCGATTTGGTGGCGTAACAGCAAGTGAGCGATACTGACTAGGCACGGTCAATCTGGCCTTCTTATCGTTTACGGTCGGAGTAAGTGTGTACGCGAATCTTCTAGATGAACCAAGAAGCGGATCTTCTCGATCGTGCACGCGGCAATATAGCACTAATCTTTTTTTGGCGGTGAGGGGCGGGGGGAGGGGGGGCAGTATATTTTAGAACGTACGTGTTCCACTAAAAGCGCATGAAAAATTTCAGTTCGGTGTATCTCTAACTTGCAAGATTAGGGCGTCTAAGGGGTTCGGCTGATGAAACTTTTTGACGACGGGAAAGAATTTACCGTCCCTCTTATGACACCACTGTGCAAGATTAACTTTTCTAGAGTAATCACGCAAAGAGTTTTCATACAGTAGGTAAATGTGTTTATGGTGTTTGTGAATTTGATGCAGCATCGATAGTGTAAGGGACACTTATTTAACTTTGAAAAGAGAAAAAAAAGCTCCAGTCGGTTCCTTCGTAACACATAACGCATTTTTTTTTAAGTATCAAATGCTTTCTAATTAATATTCTATGTGTAAACAAAAAAACAAGCAACGAAATACTTACTCGTTACTTGCAAAATAAAGGAACGAGTTGACGACCTACCTTACATCAAAATGAATGGAACGCGTTGCCGTTATCGACTCAAACTAACGGACGTAACATTTGCATTTTTTGTTTTATTTATAAACTGAAGTTAATAGCGTTTTTATTTGGCGACAGGGTTTTTCGACACTAGGTCAAAGGGCGTAAGCGGTGGGGTTTTTCTAAAGAGGGACTTTTTGCGTGGCGAATAGACAGGAAAACTTTTGAAGGTCTGTGGAATGAGGGCAATAATTAATGACTTGGCGCCTATGCTTCATTTCAGCTTAAAGAGGGACACTGCCCAAAAAAAGTGAACGTTTGAAACACTTGTTTAATTTAAATGACATTCACACTGCTTGTTTCCGTTGATGTTGAGAACATTTGTGCCAAATTTTGTTAACCTAAGTGAAGGACAAAAAAATGGAAATGTTCAAAGATGGAAGTGGGCGTGTCTGCGTAGGAAAACTATCGGTTTGAAATTACTTATACATTTGTTATTTTCATGCATTATATTGCTTTAAGGCAGTTCAGAGAAGATAGCTATAGAGGTATATTTCTATATTTTACCATCTTTCATGATGAAAAAGCCACACAAATACTGTTTTTTTTTATTTCCATTTTTTGTCCAACATTTTAGTTCTTGAGCATGGAAGATTAGAAAAATAAGAAAAAAAGTACAAGCTCATAGCTATCGTCCCCTTAAAATTTTACCATGAAAATCTCTTAAAAATGAGTACAAGTTACGTAATAACAAAACGATAGTTCTCCTGAAGTGAAATTTAAGCCAAAAAGTGGAATGTAAGAAAATTAGTTCAAATTGCTCCAAGCGCTGCGTTTTCTTTAGCATCGGTGAACCGAAAATAATTCATAAAAAAATTTACTATGCAATGTAAACTAATGCAATTTTCCTAAAATACTCTTTAAATGTTGGTGGTTGTAAATATGCCAGTTTTGAAAATCAAGGTTTTTTTGCAGGAACTGTTTTTTTCTGGGTAGTGTTCCCCTTTAAGTCCAAGCACACGCGACGCTACGAGCTAATGGGGTCAATCAAGGAGCTCCGAAAGCGCCACTCACTGGTCCCTTTTTGTTCATGATTGAACAGAATACCGTTATCGTGTGGTAAACAGTGCAGTATTCAATCTGGTAGAAGTGTCAATGATCCACTGAGGGAGCATTCCTTATTTGTGAGATCGTCCCTTGCGGGCCTTTTGGCAATTCTTTGTGACAGGGCTGGGTGTGCCCCTCAGCTTGAAAAAAAACACAGTAATGATGCGATAAAAGAACAAAGTAATGAGGGAGAAGACGGAAGCATTTCAGATATTATAACGTAAGGAAGGCGCGTATGTCAGTCCTCCCTCGGTTTCCCTGTTTAAGAAAGAGATAGAGTATCTTATCCAATGAGAGCCTAATGTGCGTTGACGTTTGTGTGATGGATTATTCAGGAGTTCGACGCATTCATGCATTTCTTCAATTAAAAACTTAATTTTTAGTAATTTCTAGTTAGCGCCTTGTCCGCCTTTGCCTTCGTCTGATCCGTTGTCATTTTGTGCCGCTTTCTCGTTCCTAAACTACTCCGTTTACCCCTAAGCTGACAGTGCAGTGGGAGCTAAGCGCTTGCCCGAGCAATCAGCCGCCTCCCTCTTATCACGTGACCCCATTCTATGTTCGTGGGCATGCGCGAAAGAAACTTGGTCCCGTGGCAAAAGATGGAAGTGTAACTGGCCCAACGAGCACGTAGCTTCCACGGCAGTGTCAGCTTAGGGGTTAGCGGATGATAGTTTCGCTTAGTGCTGCGGTAGCCAAGGGCGGTAGAGGGGGAAAGCAACTTTTGTCCGAATTTTGAGCGAAGGCCTACTTTTCTGGCAAGGAATAGCGACGTGCGAGTGTACATAGAAAGGGTCAGAACAAGAAAGGAGTTCCCTTTTTCCCTCCTCTTGAACTGCTGGAGGTATTTCCGCCCAGGTACATTTGGTAACGCTGCGCGCTTTGTGAGTTGACGAGGAAAGCTAAGAAGGAAGAAGTTGAAAAATTACGAGCTCTGCATGTAAAGCTTTCCCCTCTTTCCACTTTAGCAAATCAAACGCGGCAAAAGAGGCGAGGGGTGATGAGAAGGGACTCGCTTACTCTCCAGCGTCCGCTCTGCTGGACGAAAATAGTAAATTGCTTTGCGAGAGAAGCTTGTTCTGATTTTCTTAACCGGCCACAGAGTATAGTTAGCTCATCTGTCCAGTCGTACAGTGTACGCAAACGACAGCAGCTACAAGATGGGAGGCCACAATCACAGGGATGGTTATCGCTTCTTGTAAAAACGATCCCAGGGATTGATTTAACGTATACCATTGAAATTACGAACACTGGCCAGGTGGCGCAAGCTGCCGCCCGATTCACAGCCTTCATTCGCGTGTATTCATCTACCCATTACACGCCCACTGCTACGACGTCTTTTTTTTACTACTTTGGGGATACACTCACGTTTGTGACCGCATCGGTGTGGTTTTGGCTTAGCAACTTCATTAGTGTTTTGCTACATAAGACGTCACTGATCTTCTCAACATCTTCTTTCAGATGTGTATTCACGGATGGTGCGTAGATAAAATTGGGGACTACATATCCACGCCGGGGCTTTCGATTTCAACAATACCGGGAGGAACACCCTACGACTGGGATAAATTGAAATCACAAATGCAGTCTGAGAACGAAGAAAACATATAGCCGTTTAATAAAGTTACTCTTCCTCCATTAATGTCAAATATATGCATAGTGTATTGACTGCTGTATCTTGCATTTCTAAGCCTTGCGGAACAGAAATGTCAATCTTGTAGTGACACGTCTAAAAAACAAACAGGGTTGTTGTGTTGTGCTTTGTGTTAGCATAGGCACGTTATCAATATCATCATCATATTGTTCATTATGTCCAAGAACGTCTAAATACCACAGGAGCCGGCATGACGTCATGCTCAGTGACGCCAGATAAATAACTCAATCCCAGACTGCCTTGCACACCGACTCCACCGACGCGACCGACGCGCAGCTCCCATCGGCTGCCTACCGTTCAGTCGTCTGCTACGTGCGTGCCTTTCTATTGCGGTCTGCTTCGTCTGCCCGCTGTCACAGCTGGCTTTCAATACAATAGTCGCGCCAAAAAAAAAAAAAAACGTTTCCATGCGAATGCGCATTCTCATCACCGCGGATCTAAACGACACTTGCATGAACATGGCCTTCTACGGCTTTCTCAACCCGTGGTGCCATTCTTAGCATTCGTGCGTACGACGCTTGACACGCTCGCGTTTCAAAGCCGCGCCATGACGCATTGCTCTAGACGACGCTCCCGGGGCGGTGTAGAGAGCGTCCGCTATACGCCGACTTCGTACAGGTCAGGCAAGTGTTGGGCTCCAAATCACACCTGTTCAACAGCGATTCAGTGGACGGCGCAATGTAAACATCTGGCAAACAACCGGGTTGCCACGGCAATGCCATTGCGCCATTGCAACACAGTTCGTTGCCCAATATTTTCATGCCGACGTTTGTCAACTGGGTGTTATAATTATAATGAAAATTACCCGAGACTGTATTAAAAAATGGAGAACTTACAAGAAAAAAAAACGTAGAAAATGGATCGTCTCAATAGCCCAGAAAAAAAGGGCAATTTCTTGTTCACGTTTACTTCCGTTACAGTTCCGTCCACGTATGGAGTGTCATATAAGTGGGGAAGCATCTTGCGTTATATGGCACAAGCGCTGGCTGGCTGTGTTGACTGGCAGATCAGCATGACTCGGGTAGCGCGGGACTGATGCGCGTGTACGGATGCGGTGCGCGCGTATGGGCTCGAGGTTTGGGTGGTTGTTCGATAAAGGTTACCGGCGTAGCTCTCCTCGCTCTTGCGGCTCCTGTCTTTGGTCCTCTTGACTCGACCCGACTCGGTACACGACATGGTGGCCGCGGTGGGATCAAAGACCTTCTACCGTCTTTGAGGACCTGAGAAGCGACAACAGGGTTGCCATCGTGACCCCACGGCCAGGTAGGAAGCGAACCAGCGGCCGAACTACGCCATGCCTAACGACGCTGACGTTTCGGGTTCTTCGAACACCCAGGCCAGCAGAGGGGCATCCTTCTTCAATCCTTTCGCAGTCGAGCTCCCGGAGAAGTTGGATTTCCGGAATCCTAATGACTGGAAGAGATGGATAACCCGGTGGGAACGCTACCGCATAATCTCAGGACTCCATCTCCGGGACGCATCGACTCAGGTCAACACTTTCCTTTATGCGATGGGCAGAGAGGCAGAGGATGTTCTCTCCTCGCTCAACTTAACCGAAGATTAGCTTATCGATTACGATGTAGTCAAGGCCGTATTCGACACCTACTTCATTCCTCGGGTGAACATCATCTTCGAGCGAGCCAAATTCAACTCGAGAAAGCAAGAACCGGGCAAGCCATGGATGTCTTCGTCACGGCCCTACATAAACTGGCGGATACTTGGCAGTATAACCCTCTGCGGGACGAGCTCATCCGAGATCGCACCGTGGTAGGACTGCTCGACACAAAACCCAGTGAGAAACTCCAGCTGGACGCTCAGCTTACATTGGAAAAAGCGACCACGACAGCACAATCGTCGGAGACAGTTAAGCGGCAACAGTCAGAGCTGCGCAGCGCAACGACTGGAAGCGACGTCCTCGAAGAACTTAAAAGACATCCGTGAGGAAAAAGCGTAAACAAAGATACCCAACGTCAGAGCACGTCGCAAAATCAAGGACGTCCTAACAGTTCAACGTGGACATGCCGATGGTGTGGCAGTTCACAGAAGCACACCCAGCTTCAGTGCACTGCACGAGGCAAGAAGTGTAACGCCTGCAAAAAGCTAGGCCACTTCGAGAGCGTCTGTTTTTCAAAGCATGCGATAGAAAATCGAAAATCACAAGCACATGGGCAGAGACTAAACGAAGTCTTCCTTGGCGAGCTGGTACACTCAGGAAACGGGAGCCCCTGGTTCATCACAGCTAAAGTGAAGTAACGTTCAAGGTGGATACAGGAGCGGACGTTACGGCTGTCCCTCCTAGCGTGTGCGACGCGACAGCCTTGGCAGCGCTGGAGCCAACAGAGACGGATCTTTTTGGAGCCGGACACTCTCCACTCAGCACACCCGGCAAGTTCAAGGCAACTATAACCTGGAGTGGGCGAACAACCAGAAAGACCATCTACGTAACCAACCGGCTGAGATACCCTCTGCTTGGACGAACGGCTATTCAAGCCCTTGAGGTGCTGCCAAGCTTACAGGAAGTCAACGCTGACAGCAACATAGAGTAGGATTAACAACTGCACGCTAAGTACCCATCGCTTTTCCAAGGACTGGGGAAAATGAACGTCCAGTACAAGATCAACCTCCACCCGGACGCTAAGCCGTCTGCAATCGCCTACCCGCGACGGGTGCCCTTTCCGCTTGTACCCAGCGTAGAAAAGGAACTACAACGCATGCAAGACATGGACGTGATCGAACCAGTCGACCACACCACAGCGTGGTGCGCTCCCATGGTGGTTGCCAAAAGCAAGATAACTCTATCCGGATCTGCGTGGACTACACTCAGCTCAATCCGCAGCTGGTGCGGGAGCGCATCATCATGCCCGCGGTAGAAGAGACCCTGGCAAGGCTCGCAGGAGCTGCGGTATTTAGCAAACTAGATGCCAATTCCGGCTGCTGGCAAGCAGCACTAGCTCCGAAATCAACAGAACTGACAACCTTCATCACACCAGTGGGGCGTTTTAAGTTTAAGAAACTCCCATTTGGAATCGCGACGGCGCCAGAATCCTTCCAGCGGGAGATGCTGAGGATAATAGAAGAAATCCCGGGGCATGTTTGTCACATGCCCCGGGAAAAAAGAAAGTGGACTTTATTGACACCTGTGGTGGCCGAGTCATTGATGACTAGTCACATTTTTAGTATTTGTGGCTTTTGCTGGTTTTATTTTGCGGCTTATATTTTTTCCAATAAAAAATTCAGTTGATAGTCAGCGCTCGTCCTGTTTGCCTCTCCGTCTTCGTATTCGTCTTTATTGTGCACTTTCACTACTTTCAACATGCATAACCAACTCGCCGCATTGCCACATTAGTTGTCACATGAATGACATTCTAGTTTTCGGCCGCGACAAAACAGGGCACGACAGAACTCTCGAGGTGGTGCTCCGCCGCCTCCGTGACACCGGAGTGACCTTGAACTCCGCAAAGTGCGAGATCGCCAAGAATCGCGTCAGGTTTCTGGGCCACATCCTGGACTGGAGAGGCATCGCGGCATACCCTAAGAAAACAGAAGCGATTGTCAAGATGCCGGCGCCGGAAAGCATGGCAGAGCTACGATCGTTTTTAGGCATGGTAAACTACCTCGGCAAGTTTCTACCTGACATCGCGGACAAGACTAAGCCACTTAGAGATCTACTACATCAGGATGCAAGCTGGCTCTGGAGTGAGCCTTAAGAAAAAGCATTCTCCGAGGTCAAAGATCTCCTGTGCAATACTTCTGCCCTAACCTTCTATAAACGAGGAGCGCAGCTGACGTTAACGGCAGACACTTCTTCGTATGGACTAGGGGCGGTCCTACTCCAAGAGGAAAAGAACGGCAACAGACGCCCCATGGCATACGCGTCGAGAGCCATGACGCCGACAGAACAAAGGTACGCCCAAGTCGAAAAGGAGGCTTTGGCCATCGTCTGGGCGTGTGACCATTTTAGAACCTACTTGGTAGGACAAGTATTTCACGTCGAGACAGACCATAAGCCCCTGGTCCCGTTGTTAACGACAAAACGTCTCGACGAAATGACACCGAGGCTACAGCGGCTAAGAATGCGCATCTTCGAATTCGACTTCAGTATCTATCACGTACCAGGCAAGAAAATATACACCGCGGACGTCTTGTCCAGGGAGCCGCTAACAACGACAGACAACTCTACGGTCACACCGAGAGACGCAGACAGGAGTGAAACATTCGTTCGAGAGTACGAGATGCTGACAGTGGAGTTTCTTCCAGCATCTTCTTTCTTTTTGGAAAGGCTGAGGACTGAACTGGTCCAAAAACCCTAGTACGGCAAAAGTTATGGAATACTGCCGCACTTGCGTGGATCCAGACCGCTGAGGGGGGGGGGGGGGGGGGGGGGTTAGCACCAGGCAGTCTCTCGTCCTATGGCGTCTGTTATAGTCAGACGCCTCTCTCTCGTCTTACGAACCTTGTACCGTTGTCGGTACCTTTCTGGAAAGGCTGAGTACTGAACTGTCCAAAGACCCTAGTACGGCAAAAGTTATGGAATACTGCCGCACCCGCGTGGATTCAGACTGTGCCAAAAACAGTGGCCCGAGGCGGACATGCTTCCTCCGAACTTAAAGAAGTTCACCAGTCTCGCAAAAGATTTTTCGGTTGTGCAAAATCTACTCATGCGGAACGACAGGCTGGTTATTCCGCCCCGTCTGCAAGGAGAGGTCCTAGAAAGAAGACGCTGCGGACATCAAGGTGTCGTCCGATGCCGTGCAAGAGCAAGGGATTCTGTCTGGTGGCCCGGGGTCAGCACACAAATACAAGAATACGTAAGTCGCTGCCCTACATGCCAGCAATATCGACGAGCTCCGACAGACCACCTACTTCAAACTCCTCTACCCGATCGTCCGTGGCAAGAGATCGGAACGGACCTTCTCCAGCTGAGAGGGAAGAAGTATGTAGTCATCGTCGACCACTA